TGATTAAAGTATAAAAGAGATGAGCACACAGATTTTGCAAATTTTATTTCTTCAAATCCGTCGTCTCATGTTAATGCATTAAGCACCGAATCGCACGTTCTGTGTCATTCTTTCGTTCTTGGCCTATATCATTGGTATGCTCATGTTGTAGTTATAGATTCTAATATGTGAATTACTGTAGAGTATCTGGCTAACTTTGCCTCTGTTTCTCCCCAGTTGATTATACTTGAATATGTTACACGATAATATTCTGATAGGTTTTATTGTAATCTGATGATAACATCTTAAAATGTAATCATCTGATAATCTTCTCGAGATATTATTATCAGATGAAGTTGAAGGTAATGAACTGAGTTACTGTGCAGTGGACATGATTCCTTCACTGTGCTGATTGAACATGAGGCGAACGAATTGCCTGCTTTTAATTATGATTATTCAATAGCTCAATCTTATAATGAGGTAATTATTCTATTAAAGAATTGTTTTTGCCTCATTAAAGTATTGTTCTTTTGAACCACCTTCGATAATTATTTCCCATGCCAAGCAACTTATTAATCCGAATATCACATAATCGGATTAATAAGTTGTTTCCCATTGTTTCCCTCACTTGCGGTTTCCCACTGTTTTTTCTGGCCGCTCAAAATACCAACTCCACATTCGAATGATGATTTTTGTTCGCGAATAAGCTCTTAATCATCACAAGTGGATAAAAGTTTTTCCAAGAACAATTGATCATATAAAAATTTCAAAGATCAAATAATACGCAACTTACTTCGAGTTAAGAGACAATACAGCAGGACAGAAGTAGCCAATTTTTCCCAAAATTCTCTTTTTCGTAGGTCATAATTTGAAGTTGCCGTATTTCATCATTGTGATAATCCAAATCCATATGGCATAAAAGGACAGTTAAGAGTAAATCGCATTTCGTCAACTAACACAATGAATTTCTAACGTTTTCAATTCAACCGTACGAAAAGGCATTTAAAATGTCTCAATATCTCACTATTGTCATTTGGATTAGCTGCGAAAAAAGTTCGCACCAATCACATTCACATTTCTCATAATGATGAGTATGGATTGCTGAATTGAAAAACAAACAACAGTATTCAGTGCTTTGCATGATGTCTTGTTCGATTCGTTCGTTCTCTCATGTAACCTAATCTAGTCCCACTCGTTGTACAGGCACACAAACCATTCGTTGTGAACGAGGAACGCACTAACATCAAGACCATTGATATCCGTATATATCCCTCTCTCCATCCACCCTCCTGTGCCTGCCTTTATCCCTCGTAAATCCGTGACCATTGATATCCGTATATATCCCTCTCTTCATCCACCCTCCTCTGCTTGCACTTATCCCTCGTAAATCCATCCTAATTCCTTCCCCTCGTTCGCTCCATTCTCTCACCATCTCTCTCAATCGGTCAGTGTCAATGATGATGGCGTCCTGTTTTCTCAATCATTTGTTTCAAATCAACGACCCATTCAAATGTTGACTCGACCCACCTCAAAGTATAACATCCTTCAGGGTTAACTTTTTCCGTTGATTTCCGTTTGCGTTCACCTCATTTCTGCTTGCTCATTTGATGATTATCTCATGTCATTGTGTTTATCTCCTCATTATTCCTTCCCACCCATCGTTTTTGTCAGTCCAACTGCAACCATCAATCACCAAATTGATTTGTTCGTTCGTGTTCATTCTGATATACCTATCAATCGAGTGAGCTAAGTGAATTATGCTAAGATATTCTCATATTCTCATTCAATTATGAAGAAGATGATTTTGATGATTTGTTATTTCATGATCATATCATCCATGTGATTGTGATCTGATTTCGGAAAACTTTGCCAATCGCTTCAAAGATAAATGTTCTCATAGTTCTATTGCAGGTAGTAGTTCGGATTGTGATTTTTTGAAGACTTTCGTTATATTTGCGATAATCTTTGGTTAGACTTTACTGATTTTTCGAATTGAGTTGTTTTGAAGCTGTCAACTTATGTGCTTTGCTGGCTAAACAAGTTTCTCGATATTATTCACAGTGATCGAAATGAATCTTTAACTGGAAGCGTTATGTAATGAATTATCCTCTAAAGATATGAATATCGTATGTGTTCACAAGGTGAACATCCGTCAACACTTTGAAATTTTCTTCAGCTATCTCAGGTGATATTTTACTTGCATGAATGTATTTGCATGAATCTTACGAGCAAAACTTTTGCATTTATTGAGGTGTATCTTTCGATGCATAAGTTTTGCGTTGACATATATCTCTCTTTGCTTTGATGGTATTATTTACACAAATGTAATTGATAGTTTGTTCGTGCTGCCATAATTCCAAATTCAAATAGCGCGCATTCATGGGGTGCTATCCCGCAGTGATTTATTTACGTTATGCATTATAAGGTATATCGGTCAGCCGGATGCACTTTCGTCTCAGTCGTCCACAGCAAGTTTGCTTATTTAATCAATGAGCAAATTTCATCTTAATCCGATGGGAAAATACTTTTGAAGTGAAGACTGAATTGAATCTTTCGAAAGTCATCGAAAGATGTTTAATATTTTAAATTGATCAGACATATTCTCATGCAAATTTAATCTAAGTTTGGTGCTAAATTTGAACAATACACTTCTGTCTACAACCTATTACTGTTATCAACTGGAATTGTTCACTTCTTTCTCAACTGATTGAGACGACGGAGAAGTCAGCACCTATTAAAAGAATTGATCATTGACTATGGACACGAAATGAACTGTAACACCTCATTGTCATTGTTAATGTTATCACCATTATCATCGTTACTGTCATCCTTGTGTCGATCAGATCACTATCGTGGTTGTAATCATTAGCTGGACTTCCCCAGTCATCATTATGCTGTTGTTAGTGCTGTTATCCTTGTAATTATCTTTCTTATTCAAAACAGTATCGTCATTATGAAACAAGTGCAGTCACATGTTCAGCAACTCTAGACTGTACATTTTGAAATTCAATTAATCATTTCAAAAATGTTAGAAAAACGTCGACGAATGAATTGATTTTTTTCAAGTCCTTCCCTCCCTCACACGATGGGATGGTTACATTTCAAAACAAAAAAAAATCGCCTTCATGTTTTCAATGGAATTTTGACGCTCGCATTCCATTGTTAGAGCACATCAACAATATGCTTCACATTGTATATTCGACCTTTACACTGAATCATTCAGCTTCAGCATACATTCAACGAATTCATTTCATGAGCACTTCACGTTGCTCATTCATTCACCTCACCTCACATTCTACATTGTTGTTTATATTTCGAACACGAAAAAAGCGTTTTCACAAATGCAGTTAGAACGTGAAAATTTAACACTTCAAACCGAACGCTTTCAATTCGCTTGATTCTCGTTTGTATTCAACGCAAATTCTTCTCTGTTTATTGAGCAGAGCACCGCATGGAATCGAATCGTTCATGTTTTAGAGCGATATCAACGAGGAAGTAAGTGTTATCTCATACAAACACTAACATAAACATACGCTAAACCGATGATCGTATATTTGTACTTATCGTAAGCGAAGGGAGAGGAGATGAAATGTGATAGATAGAAGATATACGGCGTCAGTTTTTGCCCCGTTTCATTCTCCTTCATATCCTCCCTCTCCGTTCATTGTCCCCCTCCCCATTCAACACCAAAAATTGACCCGCCTAAAAGCGGTGGTTTATTGCTGTGTTGATGTTGTTCGAGCCGTCTTATAATCATTCATCTGTTCCTCGAAAACTGATCATTTTTTATGGTGCTGATCATGAGTATTATTCGTTGTTGTTTCTGTCACCATTCGATTCACTGAACATTTTCCTCATTAACTTTCAGCATTTCATTCATTGCCATCTTTTTCTTTTTCCCTCAAACGCAACAGACCACGAACAAATTGAGGAGAGGCGCATATCTCAATAGATATTCTTAAGACTGACACATTTTTGAAATAAGATCTGATCGTTTCATTGTTTTTATTTGGCTTTTTTTGAGTCGGTGAAGTGAAATTGAAATGAATGAATGAATTAATAAAAATTTCGAATATTCCAAGCAGATGGTTGACATGAATGATAAGGTGATCATGGAAAAATAATTACGGCGTCTTATGTCAATGAATAAGAACTAAATCATCTTAGTAAACGTCAGATCTCAAAAAATGCCACTACTTAGTAGTAGGCATTGCTACATACCTAATGAATAACTAAAACCATATTCAGTATTAATATTGGTCTCGTTATTAATTATTACCTATTTCCAGAGGAAAAATATAATGCTTTCGTAGATATGCAGCCAACTAAAAGTTGCAGTTCAATTGCTCATTGAAACCTATCTAACTGATATGATCTAATTAATTCGGGACATTGATCTAATTCGGGAAATGTTCAAGCATTTTGAACAAGAAAAATTTGTAGACTTAAATGAACACTTTTGTAAGATGAAGATTAATTGTTTTGTCACATAAGCAGATTTTGATTGAACCACCACACGAATGTGAGCAATTTTGCTTTAGGGTGATGGGCTCTGATAGAGTCTCAAGATAAACTCATTCGTTTGCGTTGATCCCAGAACCACTTATCGCTCCTACTATTAGCTGTTGGGCTATAAGGAGTGCCTCAAGCAACTCCTAAAGAACACTCACCTATTCAATACAACCATTTCGGTTTCTTTGATCATTTCAATATTCACAACAAAATCATCCACAGAAGACAGTGATATAACACCCAATTCCGGCTAAAACTTTCCGGGCGAAGAAGACGGATTCGCGAAAATTGGCCGTAATCAAAAAATATTGTAAATGTGACGAGGAGAAGATTACTGACATAATTTTTCATATGAACTGAACGAATCTAGTCGAGATAAACGAATTGACAGAAATTTAATCAACGTATCCGGAAACGAGAGAACATGAATAGATAATTTGATACAAAACAGATGGTCGCCAGGCTTAGGGTCGATAGCATTGACAAATTGGTTTATGTGGCCAGTGCATGGGAAAAAAACGTTATCAACTACGCATTACCTCTGAAGAACACTTGGATTGTGTATACGATGAGGTTGCGACCGTTGCTGAATCCGATATCCAGCGTTTTCTCCAGTGGACAGATCACGGTCACTGCACAATGTTTCGTGTGATTCAAAACATCTCCAATATCTTTTCAGTTCGTGGTCTTTTCATTCGAGTTTAATTCGTTCAACAATTTGCCATCTATTAACGCCGTGAATACCTTAAGTTCAAATCATGAATCGATACCTTAAGTTCAAATCATGAATCGATACCTTAAGTTCAAATCATGCAATCATTTTAGAATAATTCGTTGTTTGGTCGATAAATTCAAATCTGTTGTGTTTGCTTCAAAATGTTTGTATTGGAACACATCACATGCATACGTTTCACATGGACGGATGTTTCATATGGCACTTGTTTGAAATATGTGCCAGATTTTATCTAATTGACAACGCGTTCACTGTTTCAAGCGAACACTTTTTTTGAACAAATATGCGATCGCTCATTCAAAACCGATATTACCCACACATTAAATTCATATTTAGCATTTCATAGGTTTTGCCCGCCAAGTTCAACTGAAATATATTGTAACTTATTTGTGGAAGAAGAAATCACATACGAAAAATTAACATCCACAACGGAATTCAACTTTTGTCAATTTTGAATTATTCACTAATAATTTTTTTCTGATTCAAATTCAAATTCTTAGGATGTTGCAATTAGCATGTTCTCATTTGAATTTCATGTTTGAATTTCATTTCCAATCAGCGATCATCATTCATCGCTGATCGCGAGTGTGCGTGATCAACAGAATTAATCACTCATCCTCATATGAACTGATTGCATGAATTATTGATCGTCATGCGATCACATCTGCCTTTTTCAATATCTTTCAGAAACAATCCGCTGTTTGGATTGGTAAATTGAACAGATTTGACAATAACGAAAGTAGTGTTGACATCAAAATGCACTGAAAACTCTCAATAACCGTTGTGTCATCTTAACATGTTGAAAATAACTGCTGTAAGACATTCGAACTTATTTATTTAAGAGATACTTGATAACACTAATCCGTGACATTGCCGTTCTTATTCAAATAATCACACCGACAATCTCAGTAATACAAAGAATTATACGAACGATGATAATGACATCGCTCCATTTCTTATCTCAACAAACACAGCCCTAATACCTTGCACCTTCCTATCATAATGCTTGTTTCAATCGATTTCAGCTCACAGTTCCTTACGAATATTATCGTTTCGCTTGAAAGAGATTTGTAAATTCTTGAAATCAGCCTGCTTATCAGTTTTATTTTCTTTCAATTTCATGCGTTTCATTCCTATTTGCTCACATCATCCATACTGGAACGTTTGATAATTCAGTCTGGACAGAGGACATAGCTTATGTTATTGGTATTGTTATTGTTGCTACTATTGTTGCTGTTATCATTGATACGTCGCCTATATGTCGCTTCATTAACTAATTATAAGCATGAGTGGATAAAAAATGATGAAGATCAGATTGATTGATTTTGTTTTCATTGATTTCGCAGCGAATCGTTGCTGACTGAGGAATATCTTAAAAGCAAACAGTCTATTAGCACTTGCAGAATGTGTGATTTGTACAATGCGAACAAACGCAATCGTAAAGCACTCAATCTGCATTCATTAAACGATCGGAAACGTATCCGTGAGGATGCCACTGCTCCAGAAAGTGACACGCTGATGAATCTCAGTTCAGACCTCGATGAAGAGGATTTTACCGATGGTTCGTTACATATTTATCATTGAATTCCGCTTTTTTTACAATCACTAATATCCATCGAGTTGAATTGGTATGAGATTAGTTGATGCAGTCAGATTTTTTTAAGTCGAATTGTGAGGGAATATCTGAATTCTGTTTCGATTCATTGCTGACAATGAGGATGTGACAGGTCACTAACGAGCAGTCAATTTTCATTTGTCCAAAGTTTCTCCTTGTAAATCGGTACAGCTATAAAGAGTCTCCGGTTTGAACAGTTCGTGATCGGTCAATAAGACCTGATTTTGCGCTATGAATATGAGTGAGAATTTGGAACTATTTGCAGAAAGTCCATCGGATATTACGTCAGATAGTGATTTCCATCGTCCAATGCCAGTGGCTCGAGGCGCAGATCGACACTGGTTAACAAGGGGACGTGAACGGAGAAGGTGATTTGAATAATCGAAGATTTGAACCTGAACGAGATGTTCTCAACATGTGTTAATAGTGAATTGATTGATCGAAATAGATCATCGAACAAAACTAAGAGTGATGAGAAAGATCTCATAAGAAGTTCATTACATAACGATGTTTCTGTATCGCAACATCTTCCATTGATCAGATTATCATTCGGTCGCTTATCTCACAATGTCACTGAGCCATCTCCACAGCTTCACGATATGACCGAATTAAGAATACAAATTCATTGTTTTCTTTGAGTATCCATTCAGTTATCATTTTCACTCACCAATCTGAAACTACCGAGAGTCATTTTTTTGTTCATTCATGAATGATGCATCATTTTGCAGTCGTCGAGCCCAAGTTCCGTGTGGCATCGGTGCGCATGCCCGACTTCGATTCGATTCAATCTCAACCATCGCTCCAGTCGACCATTCGTCGTCATTCGAAGATGATGATGATGAACTCTATGGATTATATACACCGGTGACGAAAGGCCGAAGCTCACCTCCACGATTGCTGAGAGGGCTTAGCATGATTGAGGTAGTATAACTGGTTATTTGCATAGTGTGGAATTTGATCAGTTCACCTAATACGGCTCTCAATTTTTTGGATGTTTGTCACGATCGGGATTTGAACTTAGCCAATGATCAAACCATGAAATCAGATCATACGTGGATCACTCAGTGTTTAGTATTTAGATTGATTTTGTACTGATTCAAAGATCGCTCATGAAACCGAAAATTTCGTAGCAAATTAAATTTCAAGCCAAATAGAAGAGACAATGAGGCCAAATGAGCTGAATTTCATCTCTACACTCGAAAAGTGAATCAATCTGTTTGGCTAACAAGCGATTTCCACTGTATGCGAGTTAAATAAGCGAATGGAAGTTTCGTTGTTGATATAATCAAATGAAGCTTGCGCAAATTGAAGGAGCTGTCACCAATAGGTGATCCAGAGGATGTGGATGTCCCAAAGGTACCGTCATTACAGTTGACTCGTAATTGGAGACCACTGCAAACGTCCACAACAACTTCGGTTCATCACATTGGACTTCCAAAAACTAATCCACGTCATATCAACAAGGTTGTTCGTATTTTCAAATATTACAGCGGCACATTTTTCGTTCAAAACCCAACATATTTCATGCGCTACTATTAAATATGAACAGATACATCAATCTAATTTCGAATGATCTGCTATTTGTAACTGTTTTGATCGTCAAAATTTACAGTATGAATCCGTCACCTTCGCACATTTCGATCGTCTTATTTACAAAGAAATCAAACGAATGCAAAAGTAGAAAGAATTCTAGTTTCTAGTTGAGAAGGATAAGAATGATGAATTTCAATGAAGAAATCTAAGAAGTTTATTTTAGTATGCACAAGCAACGTCGTCAACACCGCGTGTCCGTGGAAATAATCGAAATTCAGTACTTAGTTACAATGTGGCTGAATATGATGCACTGGAGAGACCATTAAGTTTTTTTGAGGAGGTACGTGGGTAATTATGCATTGCAAAATGAACGTTAACTTTGAGTTGTTTGCATTTAAAGTGATTATTTTCGTCAAATATGTCAAGCTGAAACAAGAAACTATTCACATGTATGTATATTGACATACAGAAAATATCCGAAATGTCACAAAATGATTTCAAACATTTAACATTTTAACTTTTCCATAGAAATCAGTGTGAAAAGTAGTGCATCGTAACAGTTCCATAAAAGATTATAAATGAAATCGCCATTGTTTGTGTAAACTGTACTTGAGATCATTCGAAATCTTAGGAGCCGTCAAAAGAATGGTCACGACCAACTTCGCAGATTCTCTCATCGGTCTATCATGCCGCATCGAACTGGAAACCCGACCACTTCGGTCTGCCGGCTCCATTCGCTCGACGTATCGGTTGCAAAGGCAAAATTCATTTAACGATGTCACTTTCGGGACGATTTCTAACCATCAGCGTTGTCAAGGCTACGTTCTTCTTGGACCCTTGTCAATCACAAGCATCCTCTTATGTGAGAGTACGTTTTTTCTGATCATATGCATCGAATAGTTAGTTATGCGAGTGAAGAATTATCTCACTGAATTATCGTTCATCATTCGTAAAAGAGGCAATTATAACTTAATGTTGTCTGTTTATTAGTGATCTGATTGTTTGCCACGAAAATAATAATTGCGATTCCATCATTTCACGCAAACTTTAGGTGGAAATGAAACGAAATCCGCGTTACAAGAAGCAGTTGAGATCATGCTCTGAGGATCGCTTCTACGAGACCGAACATGAGCAGAGTTTTCGTACTCGCCTTGTGCCGTTGAACAATCGACCGAATTTCTATGAAAATTTCTCATTGTATGTCAGACAATGTTTCTTTTATTCGATGTTTTACTTTCCATTTCGTTTGATTGCGTAGATCAGCGGTTCTCACAGGAAGTCAATTTACCCGTTTTCGGTAATTTCGAAGTAACGGCGGTCTGCCGGATCATTAAAAAAGGTTCCGATCCAGAACACAGCTGTTCTTAAGGCCATAATTTCTACAGTATTCACTCATCCACATAGAGTGTGCTTCAGTCAAAAATAATCTGCGTAGATCAAACTCATATCATGTTATCGAACTTGCGACTACGGGAAACACCTTTATCGACGTCTTTTATCGCACGTTTAAGTAAATCCGTTAAAGAGATGTTGAAACGCAAACTTGACCAATATAACTCTACTATAATAGTCTTTCAAAGTGATTCTAATCGAAAAACCCTTCCATTCTTTCAGTGAACTACATCGGAGAAATTATCACCACCACGACTTAATTGGTGTGAGTGTGTGGATCACGAACGCCGATAATACATCGTAAGTTAATTGATTCATTTCTCTTATTTTCTTCATTTAATTTTCGCAATGTTAGAAACATTTAACTTAACAAAAAGTCTAGTAATTTCCTCACTGAACAACTCTACTGTTCTATTCATTTGCGAAAAGTATTCGAAATAAGATAACATTAACCTAAAGCGTTAAGATTAGTTTCACGATTACTCATTAATTTATCAGTCTTCGTCCGTCTGATTTTGTCAGTTTCAGTGCGATTAGCCTCAATTTAGTTCACGTCTGACTAATCCATCTTGATTAAGTCGAAGCGCTCGTCAGCGAATCTTGATTTTGTTTAATTCTTATATTGAAAGCGCTCGTTTTCCGTCGATCTTTACCACTTATCGCCGCCTGAGGATATTGAATTATGTTTTATCAGCAAGTTGTTTTGGGCTTATCATTGATAGAATGCCATTTGAATGGAAGCATGGAATGTGTGGGCACCTCAGATGAATGATTATTGTTTTTGTGACATTGGAAAACGTTCGAAAACGCTAGAATCAAAAGACGATAGAATTTGTCGTTTCTTTTGGTGTTTTAGCTGTTAGTAGAGTTCGATAAGTTTAGGCGCGTTGACGTTTCGTTAATTTGTGGCATCGCTTGTGATATTGATCATAGTTGGATGTGATTCCCATTGAAATTCGTTTCCAGTTTAGGGAATGAACTTATTGGATTGTGCTCCTATAATATTATACTCGAGAAATAGATCGTCTGAATCGCTCTGACGTTCATTTACGCGATGTTTCAATGCATTTGTCGTGCATGACTTTCGTTGTTGCCCAGTATAAGATGCAATTTTCATGTGGTGTTAACATTTATTATCGAACGCATTTCAGTGAATATTGTTGACCTCATGTTAAATTTCAGACGTAAAAGAATGTTGGGTTGTATGGCTTTCCCTGTACGACGACTAATCAAAAAGGCCAATATGATGGTAAGTTCTATTGCAAGTTGCTCTCACATTTACCGACTAAGGGTTGATATCGTTTGTCAGCTGAATACTCTGGCCAAGCGATCAGCTACGTAGGCATTGGTTCAGCCCAAATGATGGCTTTCGATGATATGATGTAATCTCTGTACTTGCTCACACTTTGACAGGATCATTTCTGGGTGGTAGGGTTGATTCCAACGTTAAACTAATGTAAACTCTATAATCGCACGGTTTTAGCTGTGTCCGATTCCGTTTAGTCAATAAAAAAATCTAATAAAAACTATTTCATCCTTAAAAACGCCTTTTGCAAATTGGATTGCAGTCGTGCTTGATAATCAGTTTATGCAAATAAGATGAAAAGTATGTCATTTGAGTGTTGTTGAAAGTTCATCAGACATACTAACAGTAATGATATCGTCGTGTGATTTCAGAGCGAAACTGGTTTTGACGAGAATTTGCAATCATTTGAGCGAACGGTGGTGAGTTTAAACGGATTAAGATTCTCTTTTTTTGTCATCTTACTATTAATTATTATCATCAGAGATGCCTGCCATTTTCGACTCTTCCATAGAAATATTGCTGATAACCACTGATATCATTCTACTACAATCACAGCAATGCAATTCAACTGAAGAGCGCAATCAGCTAATCCGCTTAATATAAAACGACAATTGGCTGTTAACGCAAAGTTGTCAATTTCATAGATATTTTTCATGAAGCACCTCTCGATCGCATTTCACTTTATTCAGCCATTTTAATGCCTCTCCACTTATCATCAGATTCACATTCAAAAACTTCAAACAAAAAATTTTTATGCAAAAACTTCAATCAAAAAACATAAATTTAGCTACGTACAACATTTATCACCACTCTCTTCAAAACGCAATCAAAGATTAAGTGTGCGACAATTGACATTAAGATCATTATTTTAATTTTGCGCGACGAATGAGTTAGCTGCACTTCTCGTTTATCTCGTCAAATCTTCAGATTAACGATGGTGATTTCTTTTTGTTACGACCTGAACTGGGCGAGAAACAGAACTTTCCCGAGAGCAAGGTGAGCAAACTCGAGATTCATATACGGCCTAAATTGCTGTTTTGTTGGAAAATTGTTATCAGCCAACACAAAATTCTGCTCTTTTGGTAGTATTTTACCTATCTTCAGTCATGTAATTTATCATTATTCCAGTTTTTGGACTGCAAGAAATTTCAATAGCCAAATCAATCTAGTTTTGATGACTTCATGCGTTGAACATAGAATGCAAAAAATTGCAAACTTCTCGCTCTACACTAAACAGAGATCATTTGTGAATCCCCCGAGAGCATTCCACTCAAAATTGTTCACGAATTCTCGACACATCTTATGAGAGCATTTG